CAAAAACAACAAAATAGCTGAGTAGCTTCCCGTATGGGACCTCAGTACCTGCTGGGAAACTGGCTAACTAACCAAAAAACTCTTCAGTATTAAATATAGGTAGTGTTGATTGAATGTTGTGCGTGGAATTAAAATTTTAGCACAAAGACAAAGGATAGTACTTAATTTAAACTTTTATTGAATTATTGAATCTTTGACTTGAATTACTGAATTAATGACTCACAATTATCGATCGAGGGTTTCTCTGCCGTACTCTTTCCCCTCGTTAGTTCCAGGTCGAGAACGGTACGATTTACTTTAATAATAAAGTAGACGTTTCACAAATTTTCCGTTTCTTCTACATATCACAACTTCTCTTAAATTTCCGTAATTTTGCCATGTCGGGCACATGACCAGTAAGTAAAATTGAGTAAGTTTCCACAACGTAGCTTCTATTGGTTTTCTATTTCGTTTTTCAGAAGATTTGTTGTTTAAAAGGTAATAAAAATTCTCACCAATAAATCTTACTGAACGAACCCGGGTATGTTATACTACAATGTGTGCGGGGTCCTTTAAAAAAGAAACCAAAAAGCCTGTAAGATAAATTTTTAGAGAAAGTACAAATACAGTTTAATTTCAAAGAGCCAAAACAATGGAGTAATAGTCTAGGAGGCAGTGACGATTTTCGGTACTTATTTTCCCAGTCAGAAAAGATGGATAGAATTGTAGGGTTAGTAATTTTAAGCAAAATACATATATTTTTAGGGGGGGTTTTCCGATGGGTTGAGGCGCAAAATGCGTTAAAGCTTACCAATACACGGTTCTTTTTTTTCTCAGTGATAAAAATAGGTCTACTAATGAGAAGTATACTGACGTTACTTAAAAAAATAGTCCGGCTAATCTGTGAGTATGGATAATATGTGTGGCAAGTGAAAAATTGAAGATCCTAAAAATTTCAGCCAGACTTACTTTCACTATCTGAGATAAGCCAAATTGCTATTTTCATGTACTTTATGTTCTATTGTAGTAAATGTGAAATATTTATATCTCGGAAAATAAGCCTACTTGTATTTTTCATCGATCTTGTGAACCCATCCGAAAATTTTAGCCAGACTCAAAAATTCTTGCTTTGTATCACCAGGAGAACAAACTATTTAATAGACACCAACTGGGAAAATAAGTGCTGAAAAATTTCACTGCCTCCTGGACTATAAGCAAGACATTGGAGTGAAACAGGATAGACGAGTACAATATGGACAATTGACCCAAAGAAAATCAATTTTGGATCTAGTGAAGACACTCCTGAGAGATAGGGGAAAAAAAGATATATTATGAGAAATTTATATTCAGAACATAACTGTTGAAAGTTCCAATAATTCCAAAAATCTCTGGAATATAAAAAATATATGATATGGATGCATTTGATGAATGATCGAAATGGAAAAACTGAACCACAAAATATTTCATTTCAAAATTTAATTGGGTGTTGTACGTAGCTGTCGCAAACTAGCAAAACATGTTTTTAGAATAGAAATAATAGGTTCGTTCCAACCCAGCCAAAAACCGTTCAATGTACGGTCACAGTCATGCGCCATAGGTTAAACGCGTTCCAACCGAGAGATGATCGTTTACCGTACAGTTTCGTTGGCGTTCCAACCAAACCTGGGATCGTTCGAGAACTGGTTTTAGCACCGTCATTTCGATCCCGAGTGGAAAGCAAGAACCGCGTGGACTGATCCATGACTGACATGCGTAATTCAATTTTTGTCACCTGTTGTTGTTGTTCATGTTGTTGTTAAACAACCAATTTCCAATCTAACTTATAAAACTGTAGCATTTTTATATTTTCAAGTGAAAAAAAGTACAAAATTTATTATCAGCTATTTGCTAATCTTTGATGTTATCAGCTTGCAAGGATTCAGTTTCAGATTCTTCATAATGAATCAGCGTTGGTGTTCGATTCTCCTTTTTTATATATTATTTTGTAATCCTAATCCTATATTCTTCTATTTTAATTTGCAAACAAACAAATTTAGGATTAAAGTTATTTGAACTGTCGTCATTACGAAAACGATCATGAAACCGTTCCAACTACCCGTTGTTTCTGTACCAAGATAAAACCGTGCAAGGTCAACGCATGCGCCTGCAATCGATCCTAACAGTTCCGAAACCGTTTCATGACGATACGAAAACGGGGGGTTGGAACGAACCTAATATTGTAGCGGTGCGCTTTCGCCATGATGTATAGAATCTAACTTGAAATCTAGAAAATACTGCTTCATTCGAGCAAAGAGATTATCGCGTTTATTCTGGATTTTGCAAGAATGGATTACAGATATTCAAAGGCCGGTATTAGTTAGTAGTTTTGAAGTTTAATATTGGCTGTGATAGGTTCTAGATAGTGTTTATTGTTAAGAGTTATAAAGAGTTAAGTTGTTCGAGTTAACAAGTGGAGTAATTAGTGTTGGAGTGTGTAGTAACGTGGAATAAATTATTGTTGTATTCATTGGACTTTGATTTTAGAAAAAACGAACCCAAGATTTCCTTCACGCACCCCAGAGCCGTGACATTGGAGTCAGAAGTGGGATATAATTCGAGGACTACAAAGTGAAATCCGATTGCAGAATAAGTGCGCTAGTGTCCGCGAGGACACTAAGTGAACGCTGTGACAGTTAGTCAGTGTAAGCAGTGACAATCACCAAAAGAGTCTTAACCGATTGTGTAAATTACTCCGGAAGTGGCTGTTACCCAATTTTGACTGTGATAGTGAATTTTCAAGTAAGTTCTAGAGAATTCTATGGGGGGCGAATGCTGGTTAGTAATGACGATGCCCCCAGGGTTCAGATCATTGGGCAGTCATTATAGAGGATTGACAGCTTCCCTCTTCCGAGGATAGACGATACCATTACAACTCTATCGGGCTCCAAATGGTTTTCCACCTTGGATCTTAGGAGCGGATACTCGCAAGTGGCAATACGCAAAGATGACAAAGAGAAAACTGCCTTCAGTACCGGAAGCGGGTTATACCAGTTAGACTGTGAGATAGGGACTGTTTAGTGGAGTCATTAGGGAATGATTGAAGAGTATAAAATGTCAGACACTAATAGCGCTAGGCAATATTTTGACGTTTTTGAGACGTGCGCGTTGCGGCAGTACTGTTTATTTTTAGTGCCGCCACTAATAAAGTTTGTGCCTTCCACTATTTGTGGAAAATAAAAACAGGCCATAAACAAGCACAGTCTCGTCCCTTATGTCTCTTCGTCTCTTCTTTTTTTTTGAGTTGACGTTCGTCAAGGCTCATTCTAATGTTAACCTCACTTATTCATTAATTTACATTTATATATTTGTTCCGTTTGTTCAGAATCAGTTCTGAATTGAACTGCGCTTGCGCATTGGTTTCGATATGAACAACAAATGCGCAAGCGCAGTTCAATTCTGGGGTGCGATTTTCGAAACCATTCGAGTATATTTCGTACACGAAATTTGACTCCTCCCCATTTAATTTACATTGCTGTTAATCAAATTTCATATACGAATGTACTCGAATGGTTTCAACTGATTTTGAACAAAGTCCGACCAAACCCAAACATATTTCTTCAATTTCCAGTGACAGGTTAGTGGCTTCTTGGCGGTGTTTGGTGCTGTGTTTTCATAAGTTTTTTGCCGATTTGCCTGTTCTGTTGATTTTATGTGTTGGATTTTTTCATTAGAATGGGCTCTTATGAAGAGAAAGACAGTTTAAAGTCACAAATACTTCGCTTCAATGCCGACGGGGCCTCGCCTTTCATCATTCTCGTCCCTTAAAATACACGTATTTACATTTTGCAATTTTAGGTTACGAATATAAAAATAGAACATTACATGCCACTGCCAAAGTTCACTACTGCCGACTTAACGTGTCGTTCAATAATTCCTTTTGTGAGCCAAAATAGCGCGCGCCACAGTCAATTTTGGGTCGGCACTAAAGCGGCACAGTCAACTGCGGCCGTATTTCAATAATTCCCTATTTTTTTTTGTCTGGCATTTTGAGGGCTGAATGTGGCTAGTTAGCTGATGAGAATATGGGTGATTTTAATGCCTGCCGTCCGTTCGAAAATTATGGAGAAATACATGAGGAATTTTTTTTTAATGATCTCAAATTTTCTGGCTTTTAAATAAAAGATTGACATTTATCAATAATTCATCCATAAAAAATACGAGATGCTTTTCAATAGCTGGAAAAAAGGGAACGGGTGACAACTTCCAAGTGAAACGAAAAGAACATTCCGCGTTTACTTTTTGTCTGGCAATCGAGAGAGTAAAAGGTTTTGTTGTGAAAATAACGCTGGAAAATCGTCATAACAGTAATCACAGTTCGAAATTGAGTTATCCGGCGAAACATTCTGTGGACATTTCGAACCGGAGGCAGGCATTAAAACCACTCATATTCTCATCAGCTAACTAGTCACATTCAGCCATCAAAATGCCAGACAAAAAAAAATGACTCAACTAAACAGGTCCTGTCTCAGGGTCTAAGTTTAACGTAATGCCTTTCGGATTGTGTAATGCTCCTGCTACGTTTGAGCCACTAATGCATCTAGTTTTGCGAAGCCTTGCATGGAGAACTTGTTTGGTAAATTTAGATGATGTCATGATCATGGGAAATTCGTTACAAGAACATCTCAAAGAGATTATCGCGTCTATTCTGGCTTTTACAAGAATGGATTACAGATATATAAGGGCCGGTATTAGATTGACTGTGATATACGTTTCAGATAGTGATTATTGTTAGGAGCTGTAAAGAGTTAAGTTGTTTGAGTTAATTAGTGAAGTAATCAGTGCTGGAGTTTGTAGTTACGTGGAATAAATTATTGTTGTGTTAATTGGACTTAGATTTTGGAATAAATGAGCCCAAGATTTCTGTCACGCACCCCAGCCGTGACAATATTTTTAATGATTTGGAACTGAAGAATTACAAGTGCTATTGATTTGTCCAGGAATGTATAAAGATTGTGAACTATTTTTCATTTTATTTCGCCCACCTGTATCATCCTCTTCACTACTCTCATCTTCATCACTACTCGAACTGTCACTACCACTAGATGACTCTTCAAAATTGGCATATCTAATAAGGGCTTCTTCTAAAGCACGGACTTTTGCTAAAGCACGGGCTTCTTCTAAAGCGCGGGCTTCTTCTAACGCACGAACTTCTTCGGTCATGCGTGCTCTCCACCTTCGACCTATATGACGTTTTCGAATAAATTTGGGTTTTGCAAATATTTCCACTGGACACTCTTTGAGTTGTTCAGGTTTTTTCCACGGATGAGTCCAGTGAGAATCTGAAGGAGCCACCTTGGTAGATGCCGTGGAATTGAAATCGGATCGTTTTGCTGAATATTTTGTTTTTTGATTTTTACTATGGATTTCTTCCAAACGCGATTCTGTATCTTTTTGTTCAAGTTTTAGTTTGCCTAACTTTGGAGGAATCTGTTCTTCTTTTTCTCCGGCTTTACAAAAATCAAATTCCGCGTTATTATTAGATTCTTTCACCGTTTTTACGGTAATAGTATCATTTTCTTTAAGTTCAACATCACATTTTGTATTAATAACAGTTTCTAATTTATTATCGATGTTTTTTAAAGTAACGTATTCCTGTAAAATCCTCTTTGGCTTAATTCGTTGACGAGAAAAGTTTGATTTCGTCTTTATTTGTTTGGATTTGTCTAATTGTTCTTCCAATGATTCAGCATTTTTATTATTCTGTTGCTGCTCATCACAATTATTGATCTCTTCACTTACATTTTCTCTTATTTTTGAACTACCACTTTTAACTAATATTTGACTAGATAATTTTGATTTAACAAGTTTGGATTTCAATATTCCAGCATTTTCATCATCCTGTTGTTTTTCAAAATTAACTTTTCCTTTTTCACTTGTTGCACCTACTTTATAATTTTGATCATTATCAATACCATCAACTACTAATGTTTGCTTATTTGTATCGCTACTTTGTGGCTCTTTTGCTTTATAATCTTTGTCATTATGTTCTAATAGTGTTTTGCACAAAAACATATCGGCCTTTAAGTTGTTCTTAGTGGCTTTAAGTAAAATTTCATTTTTATTCACCTGCTTCTCAATTATTAGTTTAGATTTCACTGCTGGAATAATTTCTCTACTACACGTGCTAGTATCAATATTATAAGTCTCAGTTTGACTTTTAAAACGAATTTTACAACAAAAATTAGTACCTTTGTTCTCAACGTCTTTACTAGTGAAATATGATTGCACCATTTTGCTGTCTTCTAGTGAAGCTTTATCTACAGCTTGTTTTTTTATGTTAACTTTATAATCTAACCTGTCACCACTGAGATTTTCCTTATGCTTTAATATGCTAGTTAATACAGCTTTTTGAGGCTTAGGAGCAGTATCACTGTTGGCTATAGGCAGCTTTTGAACAATACTGTTTAACTTTCCTGGTTTGTTGAATATAAGTTTGGTTTTTAGTTCAGAATCAATTACTACAGATTTGTCGTTAACTGAATTCATTCCTGTGTCTCTCCATGTACATCTTTTTTTAGTAATTCTTCAATATTAATTAAGTTCAATTTGCAAATCACTCTTACATTCACTTTGTTTGCATGTCTCTCATTTCCACAACTTGTCAATTAAAATTATAACACAATTCGTAAATTAAAATCGTCACGTCCGAATAACCGCGGGTGAACCTTTCGGAAATCGAAACTCGACCCAACTACACGCCAAATTAAATTTCAAGTTCAAAATAGTAACGGAATTTCGAGTCAAAGTGACGTTTTATCCGATACACTAAGGTCTTGGCAATGTGGTTTAAATGTTGTAGGTGACGAACACCTGTTTTTTCGATGCGGCAGCGAATTATTTTTAATTCTTGCAAAACACACCGAGAACACTGCAAAATTACATAATTAAGATAAATTTGCTGGCCAAGTGTTTCGGCGAGGATTTTCCTTCAAATTAGCTTGGAAAACGGTCGTTTTTAGAAATTATTTGAACCAGGCTTTTTTACTGAAGCCAGTTACCGAAATTTTAATTTAGGCGACACGTGCTATTTTTCAAGCTTCAAGCACGTGCATTGTGCAACCATTATAAATGCAATGAAAAATTTTTATTTATTTTTTTAAATTGTCGCACGTATGCTAGTTATATTAAACAATTGTCACGGTATTTAATAATCAAATATCCATTTTTTTATATGCTTTGATGAGCTCACTCCTTTATTAAGATTTTTAGATTTTTGATCTTTTGTAATTTCTATTTTTTGATTTAATGAAAAGACTTAAATTCAGATTTTTCCATTCCAAAACGGTTTGCTAAGGAGACTGAAATCACAAATTAAAAAAAAAAAAAGTAACCAAGAATTTACAAACCCAAAATAATAAATAATTTTTAGGAAACGCAATTAATTTTAAAATAAAAATAAAAATTATTTTTAAATTTTTAAAATTTTTAAATTTTCAAAATAATTTCTTTTAATAATTCAAAGAAAGATATATGTCAGATTCTGAAGAAGAAATCGAGAATGTCCTAACTGAATTTAATTTGACTCATCTTTACAATTTTAATTCAAGAAGTAACAACCAAAATCAAAGACCAACAGTAACAATGAGTGAAAATTTTGAAACTTTCAGTGGCGAAAGCCAATGTTTAGAATATTTTATAAGAAACATCAATGAGAAAATCAAAATTAATAAATGATGCGGGAAATTTTCTTATGGCACGTCCTGATAGACCAATATAAGAGAAGCGTTGAGAATTAAATATGGTGATCAATATTCTAGACAGAATTTAGTACAAGAGCTTATGTATACCACTAAAACTAATAAAGAAACAATTATTGAGTATTTGGATAAACTAAAAGGTTTAGTTCAAAGAATTACATCTAAAATCATGTGTGACCCAAATTTGACGGTAGTTACAAATGTCTTGATTGAACAAAACGAAATTATTGCTATTGAAATTCTAGTCACTAATTCGCCAACCGAATTTAGAACAATTTTAATGGTTCAAAATCCACACACGTTGGATGCAGCTAATACATTTGTGTTAAATTACCAACTAGCTGAAAACCACATGAAATTTAGTAGAGGACTTAATTATTCTACTAATCAAGATCAAAATCAAAATTTTTCAAATTTCAAAAATAAAAACACGCAATTCCGTTCACAACAAACCTATACTCAACAGAAATCACAAAAAACACCCTATGTACCACAGAAACCACAGTTTCCATCCCAACCTATTATAGTAATTAATTTCAAATTACGTCACCAAATTACAGTTTCCTGTAATTTAGAGCCATATTAGTGTTCTGTTTTACCGGCATAGGTTAGGCATTTTTTGTTATGTCAGAATAGTTGAGTCCTTAGTTACGGCAATTTAGGTTATGTTTTTTATGTAGTAAAGTCCCGAGATATTCTTTAGTAGAAATTTATAATTAAAAGGAAATTAAATAACGACTCCGAGTTGAAATCATCATTATAGTGTTTTATTGTGATTATCCATCCTATACCCTACAGTTTTCAGAAGTGGGATTCGATTAAAGTAACGCGTGTGGTGTTTTGAGGTTATGGAATAGTCTGGATTCTGGCTGAAAAATGGCGGACAGTAATGGTGAAGACGTTGATGGTGAGGAATTCGAAGAATTTGCTCGTAGGCGTATGGGAAACCCACCTCAAATACGTCCACAACCGCAAGTAGTTGATGTAAATGCCCTGATTAATTCAATGAATTGCCTGATGCAACAAAATGCAACTATGCTACAAATGTTGCAACAAAATACTAATAACCAGTCCCCCCAAGTCAATGTTAGCAGTAACAATAATGACCGAAGTTACCACATTATTCCAGATTTTTCTAAATCTATTTTAACATTTAATGCTGAGAACTTATCGAAAAGCCAAGAGTGGTTGGACAGCATCGAAAGCACTGCAGCTTTACATAACTGGCCATCAGAATTTAAATTAGAAACTGCTCGAACACATTTATTGGGAGCAGCTAAAGCTTGGTACCAATCCAGACAAAACATTATACATAATTGGGATGATTTTAGACAGCAGTTCCGTAATACATTTGTACACGAAGAAAATTTAACACACTTATGGAAAACCATGACCACCAGGGTACAAAGGGCAAAAGAAGATATAAGTGCTTATTTTCATGATAAAGTTCGTCTCTGTAAATCACTGAATTTAAGTTTCGAAGAACAAAAGGAGCAAGTTGCAATTGGATTAACTTCTCGTGAACTAGCATCCATGATAATGACGAAGAACCATGTCCATATGGATGATGTTTATCGTGACCTAATCTCCTTCGATAGATTAAATAATGAACGAAGACAACGACATACTGGTGAGCGACCCAAACCATTTATTCCTGTGAGTGCAGTGAATGTTAGTAATGCTCCAGCCAGAGTAGCAGTGAAAAATGAGACAGGAAATTTAAAATGTTATAATTGCAATCAAGCGGGGCATTATGCTTCTTCATGCAGTAAACCAAAAAGGAAAAAAGGCTCCTGCTTCACGTGTGGAAAGATGGGGCATAGATTTACAGACTGTCCTGAAAAGGCACATAGATCTACGCATATGGTACAACAAGGTAATCCCTATGTAGTCTCTTTTAATTATTCATTAATAAAAGACGATAATTGTGAATGTAAATATAGTTTAGCTGCCCTAATTGATTCTGGTAGTCCTATCAGTTTAATCAAAGAAAAATATGTACCTTTTTATGACAAAAATTTTAGCGATAATAATTATGATTTCACTGGCATTAATGGTACTAAGGTGGATGTTTTGGGCATTTTTCAAACAAATATTATGATAAATGATTTTGCAGTTTATGTTAAGTTTTATGTTGTAACTGAGACCACAATGTCATATGCATCCATCTTGGGCAGAGATTTTTTGGCAACACCTGATTTAAAAATAACCTTGAGCGATACTGTTAAAATTGAAAAAATTATCGAGAGCAATAATTCTAATGACAAAATTCCAGACGGTGATGCCAATTTTATTACTGAAATAATGCATGTAGATTATTTAGATGAAAACGAATTGAAAGTAGAAGAATTAAATGTCAATCCAAATTTGCCTCCAGAAACCTTTAACAAAGTAGAAACCTTGTTTGTTGATGAATACTTAAGTGCCGCAAGACCCTTAAAACCACAAATAGATTTTGAAATGAAAATTTCTGTCAAAAATGATCAAACAATTTCTTACCGTCCTAGAAAACTAGCCTATGATGAAAAGTTACAACTTCAAAATATTATTGATGATCTTCTTGAAAAACAAATTATTAGAGAGAGTGATTCCCCTTACTGTAGTCCCATAGTTTTGGTTAATAAGAAGAATGGTACTAAACGTTTATGTGTAGATTTTAGAGCAATTAACAATATTATTGTTAAAGATAATTATCCAATTCCTTTGATAGATGACCAATTAGATTTGTTGAAAAATAAAACTTACTTCACTACTTTAGATCTTAAAAATTCTTTTCATCAAGTTACCGTTGCCAAAGATTCTATAAAATTTACTAGTTTTATTTGTCCCCTAGGACAGTATGAATATTTGAAAATGCCTTTTGGTCTAACTAATTCTCCATCAGTTTTTATGAGATTTATTAACAAGATTTTCAAAGATTTAATAAGACAAAATAAGATTTTGATTTATCTCGACGATATTCTGATTGCTACTACCGATTTAGACACTCACTTGCAAATTCTTTCTGAAGTTTTTGCATTGCTTACTCAAAATTTACTCGAATTGAGAATTAGCAAATGCTCATTTTTACAATCTGAAATTCTTTACTTAGGTTACATTATCGACAGTAATGGGCTTAGACCAAACCCTCAAAATGTCCAAGCTCTATTGGATTATCCGATTCCTACTAGTACGAGAAAAGTACAACAGTTTATGGGTCTTGCTTCTTATTTTAGACGTTTCATCCCTTCATTTTCAATACTAGCCAAGCCTCTTTATGACCTCTTAAGAAAAGATAGAATTTTTGAATTTGGTCCAAGTCAATTGCAAGCTTTTAATGTTTTAAAGTCAAAATTAATTGAAGCACCAGTTTTGGCAATATTTTCTCCCAATTTAGAGACCGAATTGCACTGTGATGCAAGTTCTGTTGGTTATGGTGCAATTTTGCTACAAAGGCAAAAAAATAATCTATTTCAACCTATTTTTTATTTTAGTAAGAGGACCACAGAATCTGAATCAAAAATGCACAGTTATGAATTAGAGATGCTTGCCATCGTTAATGCACTAGAGAGATTTAGAATATATTTACAAGGTTTACCCACTTTCAAAATTTTAACCGACTGTAACTCAATCAAGTTAGCCTTGAACAAAAAAGAAATTAATCGTCGTATAAATAGGTGGGCATTAATTCTCCAAAATTATAATTATGTATTAGAACACCGCGAAGGAAATCGTATGAAGCATGTTGACGCTCTAAGCAGAGCAAATAGTATATTAATTTTGGAAGAGAATACTTTCGAACAGAATCTCTCTATTGCACAAAATTTAGATACAAATATTAAAGCTATTAAAGACAAACTTTTGGACTCAGAAGACAACAATTTTGAATTAAGGAACGGTCTCGTTTATAAAAAACTTAAAAATAAATCCAAAACTCTTTTCTATGTTCCTAGTTCTATGGAAGATAAAGTTATTTTTCAGTGTCATGATTTATTAGGCCATGTAGGTGTAAATAAAACCTCAGAATATATTCTAAGAGTCTATTG